TAAAGCATTTTCCTTAATGGAAATATAAATATTAGATTAAAAAAGTAAAATGTCACCTTGGCAACTAGCCTAATTGAAATATAATAAGTTGAAGTACTAAAATTACTAAAACTGAAATCAAAATAAAATACAGATAAATAAAAAATATTTAAAAAGTCATAAAAATGTCGAAAGCACATAATTAAATTACTAAAACTAAAAAAAAAACACTATCTTGCATGGAGCACAAAATGGGGGGTAAAGTAGAATGTCAAAGTGGATTTATTCCAATGAAAGTAGATCTCAGAGATAAAATGCATACAAATTCATAAAAGGATCATAAAAGTAGTATATAAAACTCTGTTTCAAGTCTTCCAAAGTCATATGTACATATTTTTTGGTAACACTTTCCAATAAGGTCTCATTTGTTAACATTATTTAAGGTATTAACGAACATTACCCAACAATGAGCAATACATTTGTTACAATATTTATTAATCTTTGTTAACATTTGTTAATAAAATTAAACTGTTCATTGTTTGTTCCCAGTGCATTAACTAATGCTAACAATGCAACATTTGATTTTAGTAATGTATTAGAAAAATTTGAAATTAACTAAGGTTAATAAATGCTGTAGAAGTATTGTTCATTCTTAGTTCATGTTAACTAAAGTAGTTAACTAATGTTAACTAATGAAACAGTATTGTAAAGTCTTACCAAAAATTTTTTTTGTGAGGAACAGACTGAAATGCAAGTAATTTTTTTATGGAAATCTGGCCTTAAAAGTCTTGCCGGGTCGTGGTCACCATTCACTTTCATTGTATGAAAAAGAGAAACTTGGACATCTCCTTCCAGTGATACAGGTTAATAACAGTAAATAATCATTTTTACTTTTTGGGTGAGCTATTTTTTTTATATATACGAAAGAACAAACTTAAAAGATTTCATGGGTTTGAATTTGACCTGTGGCTAAATTTGTCTTCAGAGAGTGAGGAAAGTAAATATCACAAGTATCTCACAGACTCAACCTGTGAACACTGAGTAAAAGAATGTGTGACATGATCCGTATTTACTCTCCTTTTGCCAGCAGGACCTTTTTGGTCTTTGAGAGGTCTGATTTGATTTGGCATAACAATTCAAGATCCTTTCAGTTTTACAGACAAAGACGACACATTGTGTTTGGAAACCTGTACCAGGACACTCTAATTCTGTTACCTTAGAGATCCTTGTTGGGGGTAAAGAAAGTATTTGAGCATGAAGTACTCTAAGAGTCAGCCAATTCTCTCTAGACACTCATGCATCTCATATTTCTCAAGCTGGCACGTCTGATTTGAATCACTTATTGTTTTGGGAAGAATTGATGGTCTTCGTGAAATGTTCCCAGCAGTCGGTTTCCATCACCTTTCCCCTCTACCACAGGTGGTGGAGATTTCAGATCCAAAACACACTGACATCTTCTCTATCTAAATAACCAGAAGACAATGAAATCAAGTTATCCGTCAAGACCAAATAGAATTGCAACCCAAGTGCTAACACAACATTGACCTAGTCTTGACATTTCGCTCACAACAGGGATTCAGGGCAGTGCCAAAGACAAACACTGCTTTTAGACATGAACATTGCAACAGTTCACATATTCAGCGTAACGTTATACATCTCGACAAGATGTTTTTAATTCTATAAGTGAATAGGACAATACTGGAATTTTCCCAAGGATAGTGGGAGACTATTCAGATTAGCATTATATTCATTCTGTTTGTCATTTCTCATCATTCTCTCTAATTAAGATCTAACGAGGATGCCGCTGTTAAGCAAGTTATTCTGTAAAGTGATTTGCAACTATATGTGTATACTGTAATGTAATCAGGATTCGACAATGAGGCTAATGATGTGCAAATGATCCACGGCTTCATCTTTAATAAAGGTAATTTTTCATTAAAGAGGAAATATTATGCTCTTTTATAAAGTCTTGATTTTGTTTTTAGGGTCTACTAGAATAGGTTTTCATGCTTGACTGTTCAAAAAACATTATTTTTCACACTTTTTACTTTTTTTGCAGCACTCTCTTCCCAGTCTGTCAGTATCGCTCTGTTTAGTTCCTGTCTCTATGAAGCCACTCCTTCTGAAAAGCGTAGTGTACTCTGATTGGTCGGCTGGACCAGTGTGTTGTGATTGGTCAACCGTTTTGATCATGCTTCGGAAAAGTCACACCCTTACCACCACCATGAGTTTCAACACACTACTAACACAACTCAACTAGGGCTGTCACAATATCAGATTTTTCACATCGCGGTTATCGTGGCCAAAATAATTCACGGTAACGATATATCGCGATATCTTTACAGTATTTATTTTGTGTTTTGCTTTCTTTTTTAGCCAATGAGTCACACCATTGCATACAACAATTACAACAATTGAGACTCTGGATTTCTCTGGCTTCTTTGACACTGCCACGAGAGAGAAAATACTGTCAAGTTCATGATGCCTTTGGACTTTAAACATTGTAGACTCATTTGAATTCACAGTGAAAAGAACATTTGGAAGCTTGCTGTCATAGAGCAGCTGAGATCTGAACAGCACACATTGCTATTTGTGTTTAAACTAAACTAATTTAAGCCTTGCCAATTTAAACATTCAAGCGCATAAAGAACTTGAGCGTTCTATGAGAAGATTGTGTACGCGCCCTCATCCGAAACGTGTTTTTAATGTTAATCAAACAACAAAAGACAAGGAAACCACTCACTGCTCTTCACTGAATAGCTTTTGTAACTTTTATAATGATTAATCTTTATTTATTTTCTACAGTGAAGATTATATGTTGTTTTACGTTTGATCACATTATACATTTTCTGTACCTGAAAACTTTTGCTGTTGCTTGTATTTGAATCATTTGTTCTTATTTTTCCCATAACACATACCGAACCGTACCGAAACCGTGATAAAAACTGAACCGTGAGTAATTTAAACCATTACACTCCAAATCCCCATACATCAAGACAAAAAAGTATGGCCATTCATTCAGCAAATGCTGGACGGCATCCAGAGCGCTGGGGACACGGGGAGACAGCTTCGTCATTCAGGCAAACACAATGGATCTCTTTCTAATGGGGTCTTAAAGTGTTACGCAGACTTAGCCTTCACATTCTATAGCCATCAGAAGATGACTCATAGAGCAAAAAAGAGAGCCAATGGCGAAACAGTGGCGATAATGATGAGAGGCCCACTATGACTACTAATGCTACTCGAATCCGTCATTAGCCAGCAGCTATCACCCTGTAGCCAAAGACTGTAGCAGGGTTGAGCCTGGTCAGTACCTAAATGGGATTCCTCCTGGGAAAACCAGGTTGCTGCTGGAAGAGGTGTTAGTGAGGCCAGTAGGGGGCGCTCACCCTGTGGTCTGTGTGGGTCCTAACACCCTAGTAAAGTGATAGGGACGCTATACTGTCAAAGAGCACCGTCCTTCGGATGAGACGTTAAGCCAAAGTCCTGACTCTCTGTGGTCATTAAAATCCCAGGATATCCTTCGTAATAGAGTAGGGGTTTAACCCCGGCATGCTGGCCAAATTTCCCCATTGGCCTCTGTCCATAATCACAGCCCCCAAATCATATACAGTATATACTGAGTGTCTTCATCACTCCGTCTCCTGTCCACCAATAAGCTGGTGTGGTGTGTGTGTGGTGGTCTGGCGCAATACCGTCGCATCATCCAGGTGGATCAGGATGCACATTGGTGTTGGTTGAGGAGATTCCCTCCTTCTATATGTAAAGCGCTTTGAGTGCAGAGAAAAGCGCTATATAAATGTAACTAATTATTATTAGACAACGGCTGTGTCCCAAAGCCTAATAAGCTGACTACCTAGACAGCATTTTGAGCTTAGGCACCTTTGTGTTTAATAAAGAGATGTAAAATTGCACTAAAGCTAAATGAAATGATTTATATAATTGTTTATACACACACACACACATAAAAAAACACATTTATTTTTTTTCAATTATATATACTTAAATTTAAGACTAGATTTGTCAGATAAAACCCTGAATTTGATCTTAAAGCTATTTTTGTCAGGTCATGTGTGACCTCTAACGGTTGCATAGAAATGTGTGACCTCTACTTGTGCTTTCATGCATTGCATTCATAGAGCATTTTCACCTTCAATATCCATTTATAGCTGCATTTGCCACTCTGAAATACAAGAGTACACGTAGAGTGTTCAGATATTAATGAGTGCTGATTTCAGACACTAGTCTAAAGTGAAAAAAAGAAGAAACGAAAGCAAAACTGGATCATCTTACAAACATTCGATCCAGCACGTACTATGCGCACTTCTACTTTCTATGGCTAAGTCATGGGGAACTGGTGTACAGACACATTTGACGAACACACCAGCTTTATAATTATCATTAACAAACTTATAGCTACAGTTTAACAAAATAGTTTGAAATGTCATTAAACTTTAATTCATTCTGTATAGTCACTTAGTGGCCCCCCAAGTAGTATTTAAACTGAATAAAACAAATAATGCTATTTGTATTCCTTTTTTTTTTAACAGTATATCTATTGATCATTAAAAACCACACTAATCAACTTTAAAAGCAAAACTTTGCTGGTAAAGTGTGTTTGTGCTAGGCAACATTTTCTTTTAAATAAATGCCATTTGGTTTGATTTTTTTTTCTAATACATTGATATTCAGATTATTAACAGAGACAGACCGATATTGCCTGCCAATATTAATTTCTTTATTTAATCGCTTATTTAATAATGACGACTAGCAAACAATGGTAACATTGATGACACCAAAATAGCCCTCAACATTTAATCACTGGACGTTAAACAGGAAACAACAGTGTTCACAGTTTACCATTTTAAGGTATTGTGGGCATTTTTGTACAGCCACTGAGTGCATGAATGAATGAATGAGTCAGGTCACACACACAGGAGGTGTCTTCCACCGTGCAAATGACGTCACAGAAGAGTGACGTCTCATCTAAAGGGATCTGAATGTGCTGCAGAGAGTCTTACCTCCACCATTTTTGTAGCACAGGTACGGGAAGCGCCAGACGTTCCCCAGACCCACGGCGAAGCCCACACAGGACATGATGAAGTCCATCTGTCTGGTCCAGGTCTCTCGCTCAGGGTAGCCCTGCCTCTTCTCCACCGCAGAAATGGCTCCAGTGGCCGCTGATACGGGTCCCCCGTTGAGGGTCCCATTGACGCCTTGATGCGCGTTTCCATTGGGAATGAGATGGCCCTTCTTCTCCTCCACCAGGACCATGTTCAGGGCGCAGTCTGCGTCCAGAGAGGATTTCTCCATCTCTCGTGTAAACAAAGCAAATCAACCTCCTCACGAGACTCGAGAAGGGCTTAAAAATCAGCAGTCAAAAATAAATATTTGATCTCTTATTGTTTTTGGACTAAGTCAGTTTCAGTTTTTTTTTACACCAATATGTCCCTTTTGTTCCTCTTTAGGTGCACAGGATCTGGTCCTTTATCCTTTTATTTAATAAAATCAGCTGTGTTATTCTTAACGAATTTTTTTAATAATTTTTTTCCGTTGGCAGTTTGATTTTCTCGGCGAAATTGGCAACGGTTTTGTTGGTTCGTTTTTATCAAAAAGCGCGTTTGTAAAATAAATAGTAGACTTTAAAAGAAAAAAGACACCGATTTAAAACAGCACCTTCAAAAACAATCCACGAAACACTTAAAGGTGAGTCTGAAGAATCGCATGGGAACGTGAATCTCTCAGAGAGAAGGCGACTGCGGAGACGGTAAAACCAAAGCGGCCCTAGGCGCTCGCGGATCAGATGAATGTAATGGAATTACATTCACGAATTGATCGTCTAAATCTCTTCAGACCATTGTTCTCATCGGTATTAAACACCCAGAATGTATAAATGAGACGCTATTCGGTGTCTACAGGAGGTGCGGCTGCTGCTGTCCCTCTGCGTGCTGACTGACTGTCTGATGCGTCCGCGCGAAGCCGCTCGGTGTTTTAACGGGCTCGGTAACGTCATTTGAAGCTCATCCCTCCCCCTCTGTCCCGCTTAAGGAAAACAGGGAATGGAGAGCTCACGTACGCCGCACACTACACACTGTATACTGCATACTAGCCTACACAGCAAGTGCGATTCTAGCTCACTGGCGCTGCGCGAGATCAAATAGCCTATGGAAGATTTTCAGTGCAGCCTGATCGCCACACAACGCATTTAAAAAAAATGTAATCAGTATAAATCAAGGGCAGTAAAATGTGATGTATAATACTTATACACACGTATAGATATGTATAGATTGATATATAAAATAGTTTTTCTTTTCAAAAAAATCTAAATGAGAACCACACAAAATATTATACAAAATATAAGCAAATAAAAAGTGAATTATCAAAATAATTAGATAGGCCTAACACAGATAAAATAAAATAAAACTTGTTTTCAAACACTGTTTAATAAAGATTAGGATTTGAGGGGCTGAGGCAAAAAAGAGCATTACCCCATCAAAAATCTGTAAAACAATGTATTATTTAAATGAATTTAGAATTATTTTACCATTACATTTCACATGAACTATGCTTATCCATCAACCTTAAATAAAAAAATGCTTATATAAATAATATAATTTTAATTGTAAAATACATAAATAAATACATATTTTAATTTTAAATTTATTTTTTTGGTTGTCTTTTGGGACTAGTAAGACATCTTATCAGGGAAGGGACTTTTTAGCACATGCGGGCAGTCTGTCAGTAGGTGTATGGTATGGCATTCCAAACATACCCACAGCATGCCACGTAGTGCCGTGAGGACTATTATTCATCAAGTACACCCATCGGGTTTTTTTTTTTTTTTTTGCATTTCAAAGTAGATAAGCCTCTGTCTGACCACATGAGATCCTGTTGTTCCATCTGGAAAATTACAAACTTCCATGAATCACTGCAGATTTTTCATTGAATTGACATGCTCTACCAAGAGCGATAATACACACACACACATGTAGACATCATTCAGTTTTATCTATTTTACCAGTTATTGTTAACTGCAAGAAAACTGTGGTAACTTGTTATTCACAATAAGTAATTAGAAGTTTCTTACACTGTATGCGATCCATGTTAATTTATGATGGATTAAAGGAAGGGTAGACAATTTCGGAGAGGCTAGCAATAGCAAGCTAGCTTTGAAAGCATGTGATCCCACCCTTCCATTCTCCAAAACCCGCCTCCTTCAAAACACATGAACAGCCAGAGCAGAGTCTGCAAAGCGCCATGAGAGACGGCGTTAATACCTCAAGTCTTAAAGAGCATAACATTACAACTATAATACACGTAAACAACTTATAGAGCTCTTGCTTGTACCACCTCACTGCTGTAGATTCATTTCACCGTTGATAGTGTTGACATGCATAAATCCGAGTCTGAGGACGTGAACAGCTCCGGGTAGAACATTACGAGTTGCCATCTCTTAATTATGGTTACAACACGGTGTAAACGCAGCATAAGCTCTTTGCTTTGTTTCAGGAGGAACTGTAAAAGGCGGCTGCTGTTTGTTTGTGGCGCTTTGTGACTGTCTGTCCACAACTCTGCACTGCCTTACCTTACTTACTGCGCTGATGATGTGTGATGTGTACGCGAGCAGGGTCCATGGAGGTACGGAGATACATATGTTGACAGACAGGTATAGGACATCGTTGCATTCGGACTGCATTGATTGGAAGAACATTTTTTTGGTCCGGAGACTTTCACAGAAGATACAGTATATACACATGTTTTAATATTTAGACCACTTGTAATTGATTGCTATCAGGATGTGAAAAGAGTTTCAACCAGTATAACAAAAAGTGTCGAAAAATTGCCTGTACTTTAACAGTATAACAATAACTAGTGAATTACTATGGTATTTTGGTGGGAACATGGTCATTTTTCTAAAGGCTATTTCTACCAAAGACAGTAGCTGGTATTGAGTGCAGTAGTGCAGTATGTTTTTCCTGAGGCTGTTAAAGGTTTAAACAGTTTGTCCTTGTGGGATTATAAAATTAAACTAAGGTCAGATTTGTCCAATGACATGCCTACAATTTTCACAAACTTGTTTTTGGACAGATTATAAGATTCTTGAAACCCAAGTTCTAAGAAAACCACACATGTACAGTTGGAGTGAGTCATACTGTAAACATCTCTGGATCATATTGACCCTAAAAATGTGGCAAATTACAGCGGCACGTTCTGCGAAGTGTATGTGGCTGTTCCCCTGAGATGGTTCGAAGAAAACTCCTCATCTTATCTCTATGATGAGTGAATTGTGAACATTGTGAGGTGAACTATTTGTCCTCATAAATGAGCCAACATTGTTGCAGTCATAGATTCCAGGGCATATGATAGGGAAATATTTCACATTTATAAAGTAAACGGTAACACTTTACAATAAGGTTCATTAGTTAACATTATTAACTACCAACATGAACTATAATGAACAATACTTCTTCAGCATTTATTAATATTAATTTCAACATTTACTAATACGTTATTAAAATCAAAGGTTTGTTAACATTATTTAATGTATTGAACTAACATGAACAAACAATGAACAGCTTTACAATTTAGCATGTTGCTGCAATACTGTTTTAGTGCGAAACTTCAAGGCAACACTAATATACATCTATACAATATGGGTTGCATAATAATTTCCTGAAATTGTATGAGGCTTGGTTGAGTTTTTAGCCTTGGGATGTCATGATTGCAGTTCAATAATGTATGTGTCAAGTTGATTTACTTGGTAACACTTTACAATAAGGTTTATTAGTTAACATTAATTAATGTATTAACTAACATGAACTAACAATGAGCAAAACATTTGTTATAGTATTTTTTAATATTTGTTAATGTTAGTTAATAAAAATACAGCAAACAGAATCGAAGTGTTGCTTCCACTTGATTGTTGATCAAATCTGACCTGTCAACATCATGGTAATTTTCACAACTCTGAACAAACACTATATTGTAACTAAGTCTGAGATTTAAAAAAAAAATGGAGAAGTAAAATTAAGCAGCCCTGGTCATAAGTATAACTTACAGTTTTCATGTTGACTCACACGTCAGGTTGAACACAAACCCCACATATGTTAAAATTAGACAGCTTTGCTCTCTGTAAACTTTAAAATAGCTTTTTTATACCATACTAGGGTGTTCATTTTGGCCACAATATTTAAATAGGACCTATTATGCTTTTTTACATTTTCAACTTCATTCATGTTGCTTTGGAGTCACTCCAAAGGCATGTTATTCTCTATATCATTGCGCAGTTTCTGAACTCCCTGAAACACCTCGATTGTAGTCTTGAGTTTTCTTCCGGGAGTGTACACATCACAAGATTCCTCATTTAAATCCCGCCCAAGTATAAACGGGCAAGAACTGGTTGAGTTGTGCCAGCATTTAGTAGTGTTTTGCAACTCACAGTTATGCTAAGAGATGTGACATTTGCAAAACATGCTCTAAGCGATTGACAAATCACAACACACTGGTCCAGCCGGAACAGAGAGTTACTGACAGACTGGGAAGAGAGGGGCTGCAACCATGTCAAATATAGGTTTTTCAAACATTCAAGCATGAAAACCCAAAAAACTAATTCAAGACTGTAATTCAAGGGCATACTAGGTCCTCTTTAAGTAGACTGCACAAACCACAATATCAGAATCCTCTTCACTTTCAGAAAAACTGTACAAAAATTGTTCCTTTACATGTGCAAAAGCTTGTCACTGTGGCAGTGCTGTTAAAGGGACAACTTTGTTCTATTTATACAAAATATTAAATACTATCAGAAAGCATCCTTATTTGCCCCTAAAAGGAGCATATTCATACTTTAGAGTAACTTTTTAATATAAGTAACTAAAGAACTTAAAAGGCCCACACTGAAAAATAAACTGTCAGTCATAATATTCTATAACCCCCCCCCCCCAAACACACACACCCCATATTTGTCTGTTTATTAAATATTTTGCTTAATTTGATGTATCCACTTTATTTATCAGTAGGCTACACTGCAGAAGTAGGCTATTTTCTGTGAATGTGCAAAACTTCTGATTCATTAGCTGCTATGTTGTAGGTAAATAACCAGAAGAATAACAAGAAGTTGTTCCATTGTCAGTCATTGTGGGATGGGGGAAATGAAGCCTCATTAACGGACTGAGGCTTTCCCTATACAGCAGATCTAAAAAATCCGAGTCAGTGTTGAAAACAGCGCCATCTGTTGGCTAGTACATAATAAAGCAGTCACAAGCCTGTGAAAGAAGCTCCGTCGGATGAAGTATCCACCACACACGTGCGTGATGACTTTCTCTCTCTCTGATCAATCCATTAACCCATTCAAGTGTGGCAATAAATGCCAGTGTGAATATCAATATGATCTAATATAAAAATAATGTACACATAGGCCTACTAACAGATTTGCATATGGCTAGTAGTATTTTATTTGCTGAAATAATAGGTAATCTTCGAGTGACTGGGTATTTTAAAATGTAATTGAATAGGTTTTACTCGTAAAATAAGATCTGGGGTTCGAACATTCCGACACGCAAAGCGAATAGCGCAAGTGATTGGAGTTGGACAGAAAGTGAGGTTTCGTTTGTACCCGTTCACGTGACTCATCGACACGGGGCTTCAATGGAGATTTTGCTGCGTGCTCGATTCATGCTACGAAGGTAACACACCAATATCAGTCACACTCACAGCATGACTGAGAAAACGCCGTTTGTGTCGTTCCACGGCAAACAAATATACATATTAGCTACATGATAAATAATGGTTAAACGATTACAAAAAAATCCAAGGGATAGTTCACCCAAAAATGAAAATGCTGTCATTTACTCACCCTCACGTTTTTCCAAACCTGTAAGTTATGAGTTTCTTTCTTCCGCTGAACAAAAAAGACGATATTTTGAATGTCGGTAACCAAACAGTTGATGGGCCCCATTGACTTCCATACATCATGTTTT